TACTACTAGTACTAGTACGACAACATGTTACTATGACTGCTTCTATTACTCGTGCTACCAGCTCAACACTAACCGTACTATGCACACATTTCATCGTCGAACCTGCTATGTTATGAAAATACTCTACTTGACGTATCGAGCAACAATTGTGGAAGACTATATGTCAGGGTGAACGAAGTCGAACCGTGAAAGAAGGAGGCACTGTAGACTTGAACAAGCAAAGCTTTTTAGGCTTGTTGAAACAAAACGAACTTTTTATGTTCCAATGTTCTGGGATTCATGGGTGGGTGGGTGTTATGTCTAGACCGTGAAAGTCACTGTACTGTAAAACTGCTCGATCCGGAGCTGCTGGACCCTAAAACCCCAAACCCTAAACCCTAAACCCTACTGTAAACCCTAAACCCTAAAACCCCAAACCCTAAACCCTACTGAAAACCCTAAACCCTAAAACCCCAAACCCTAAACCCTAAGCCCTAAACCCTAAAGGGTTTAGGGCTTAAGGCTTCCCGCAAGGCCGGACCTCCAGTGCCCCGAAGCCCTGCACACGCGGAGGCCCTGAACACGCGAAGGAGCTCCGCTGAGGCTTGTAGAGGGTTTTAGCGGTTTAGGGTTTAGGGTTTGGGGTTTAGGGTTTAGGGTTTAAGGTTTAGGGGTTGCTCAGAAACGCTGAGCTAAAAGGAGGGTTAGGGCTTCAAGGGCTTATGTAGAAATAGGTTTTGGGCGTTTCCATAGAGCTTCAGGGCGTTTTTCATCGGCTTTGGGCGTTGATAGGTTCTAGGGCTCAGGGTTTTTATAATCGGGTTTAGGGTCTAGGGCTCAGGGTTTAAGTTTAGGCTCTCATCATGCTTCCTGGATTGCTGGGGACGGAGCCGAAACTGTAGATTTCAGGCCTTCTTCGTGCCGGGGGGGAATCCCTAAACCCTAAACCCCTAAACCCTAAACCCTTTCGGCGCTGGCAGCAGCGGCGAGCAGCGGCAGCCTGGTCGGAGGCAGCGCGGAAGAAGGGCCACACAGCGACGCAGGGGCTGGGTTGGCATTTAGGGCTCCGTTTGTGGCTTGAGGTTCTTCAGCAACCTTTGCACATGATACTAGGGTTTGCAGTTTGGGGTTTAAGGTTTTCCGTCTTGGGCTTCGAGTGTGGCCTTTTTGTTGGCGACCAGTGCTGCAGAAGCGTACCTTTGGTACCGACCCGCGTCAGCTTCCCAGGCCTTTCGTGAGGCCCGAGACTGCCAGGTCACATCGTCTGCTTCACTCTTTAGGGATAAGACGCCCAACCCCAAACCCTTAACCTTAAACCCTAAATCTTAAACGCTAAAGCCTAAACCTTAAACCCTATCCCCTCTTCAGGGATACGACGGGGTGCGATACTCCTTCGGAGCATGGGCCCATTCCGGTGAAACTTGAACGGCCTGAGGAGGGCCTCTGGCGGACGCGCTTCGCGGGCAGAGTTGGCCCTTTAGTGCTACTACGGAGGGGCACTGCGCTGCGCGGAGCAAAGTAGGGCAATAAAGTGCGATGGGTGTCGGAAGGACTTAGGCGTGAGTTCTGCGTCGTGGCCCCACGTCGTAGCAGTGACCTGTACTGATGTGATGTCCAGAAACGGAAAAAACGGACGTCGTTAGAAGGAAGTCCGACCTGCAGGCTATACCCTGTGGTATGCCAGCAGGTACTCCGGATAGGCGCGGTTGGCACTGAAGGAGATGACTTCTCGAAAGCGCTCCTTGGACAAAACATAAGAGCAGCAATGAAACTACGGCAAGAGGCGCCCAAAGTTAGGCTGACGACCATAACTCCCTTGAGAATAGATATGGACAGCGCTGACAAAGCTGCTGGTGCTAGCAGTGGCAGCGGCAATACTAGCAGTCGCGGTCGCAGTGGCAGGTAGAGCTGAAGCCGCAACGTCGTCATACTATGTCGTCGTCGTCGCCGTCGCCGCAGTAGTCGCCGGAGTAGCAGCATGCAGAAATAGCAGCAAGGGTAGCATGACAGTCCGAAACCCCAAACCCTTGCCGGGCCAGGATGCGATTCTTGTCTTGGCCTCCTTCCCCGTTTGCACCACCAAGGTGTGGTAGGGAATTCGAGGGTCTGATCCGGGCACGGCCGAAAGCTCCTGGGCGTCGGATCGAGACTGCTCCAACACACCGCGGAACCCGATTGAGTTTGTGTCTCTCGGCGCGCAAACGCTTCGTTTAGCACACTATATACTGTAAGAGCCCTAAACTCAAAAAAAAAAAACATTTACAAGCCACTCACAACCCTTTACAAGCCCTTACGAACATTACCCTAAAACCCTAAACCTTAAAACCATAAACCCCTATAAACCCTAAACCACAATAAAGGTAGCCAGGCTTTTGGGCTCCGCCGCTCCCCAACTCTGCCGGGTCACCCGGCGATCTTCGTTGACGAAGACTTGGAAGTCGCTGTCGTGGTCGCGGAGTCTGGGCTCTTCTTAAGGAGCTTACGGAAAGAGGGTTTGGGGTTTAGGGTTTAGGGTTTAAGGGCTTATGGTTGTAATAAGGATGTGAAGGGTTCTGTAGATGTTGACTTAGGTTTATTCTGGATGTTTATTCAAGGGGCTGTGAGTTTTCGGTGGTTTCTACTGGTCTTAAGAGGATTTTACATGCCTTTCTAAAGCATGAAGTCTACTATTCATCCCTATGCCATGGCAACTTAAACCCTAAACCCTAACCCTAAACCCCGTTAAGAAGAGCCCAGAAGCGAATCTTTGAAGCCGCGGCTCAGGAAGCATGCGCCACAAGTCACCCGAACCACGAAGCAGTAGAAGATGTGATCTCCTTTCAAAGAGGCTTTTTCGGGACGCGTTCATCACAGACTTGCAGGGATTTTTTTGGGGGTTTTTATACCTATGACCCGAGCCCAAAGGTTTAGGGTTTAGGATGAAGCTCTCAAGCTTGCAACACAGAGCCCTTGAATGATGGGAGCGGGGTCCCATTCATAAGAGTTTATGCCATCCATACGGGCTTCTAGGAGTTTAGAAGGGCTTTGGTTTAACGGCCTCAATTTTGTCAATAATCAGAACAGGGTGTCGGGGTTGCTTTGAAAGGTTTGGGGTGTGGGAGCTTTTTCAAAGCTATGGTACCTGATTCAGAGCTCTGGATAACAAGGATCCTGCTATTTAGGGTCCTGTAGTGGGGTTCGCTCGTGTCTAAAACTTTTTTACGAGGCGTTAGGGCCAATCGGAAGGTCTGGACGTCAAGGTGCAAGAGATAATTATGCAAGCAATCTAGATCAGAAGTGCGGAGAAGGCTGTTGGGGGCAGGCAGGACAAAGGAATGGTGAATAGTCCAGTCATGGTCATTCAAGCATTAACCAAGCTGGCCCCGTACAAACCCTCAACCATCAAGCCAAACTCCTAAACCCTCAAGCCCTAAACCCCTAAACCCTCAACCCTCAACCCTAAACCCTAAACTCTTAACCCTAAAAACCCCTAAACCACTGCTGGGTGGTCCTGGATGCCGGTGACCACCCGCGCGGTAGAGCCGCGAGTGCAAGCGCTCGAGCCCAGGTGCCTCGTGACCCGGATCCTCCCGAGTGGTCGATCTTCTCCTGGGCTCGCCGAACCCTTAAGGCCCGGTACAGTCTGGGGTATTCTGGTTATTATAGTATATTATGGGATATGATGGCATTTTATATTGTGGTATATTACAGCATATCAGAACATATGATGGTATGCTGTTACACCATAATATAGGTCTGGATGCGAACATTACGTACTGTACTTCGTGCCATTGAACCCCCCTTCTGGACCGCTGTTTGCGTACTCGGTCACAACCATACGCAACTGAACTTCCTCGGCAGCATGGGTGCGAAGCCCATTTAGTTCCTACAATCCTGGCTTCCCCGAACCCGAGCACCATCTTGACTTTTGCTGGCAGGCGTGGGTTCAAAGCCCATTATTCGGACAAAGCTGGCGGCGCCAGAACGAAATCAGACTTACCCCCCACCCCTGCTGCGCCCTAAACCCTAAACCCTCAACACCCTCAGGGCCTCTGCTTGCGCCAACTACTAATGTAGGGGCCTTCATAATTAGATAGGGTTTTGGGTTCCTTTGTGGTTTACTTGTAAGAAGGAACCCCCAAACTAGCATTGGTATTAAGGCCTCTATATTACCTCTGATCAGGCAAGTGTCCGGGTCTTCGGCAAAGTAGGCTCCGGCACCAAACCTGGGAAAGCACATGACGGCATATTGAATAAACGGTGCGGGGCCGTCGACATCGAATCGAATCGTCTGCGACTGGCTGCGAAAAACTTAGACGGAGGGCTTCATTGCTTCCGTCTTGGGAGCTAGGCTTTCAGAGATTCCAGCATTAAGACTTTGGCTAGGGTTTTCGGGATTTGAATTGTGTGGCCAAGGGACATTCCTCTCAAACTTGCGAGCTTGTCATTGAAGCCCTGGTGCAGAATGTCCAGAAGCACCTGCGGCTTCGTGTAGGGTTGAGGGTTTAGAGGAGCACCCATGGGTGCTTTCCACGAAGTCGTAAACCCTGGCAAGCAGCACCTCTGGCTTCGTGCCATGGAGCAAGTATCTCTCGCCTGAAAGCGACAGTCTCAGATTCGGGGGTTCTGGTTTAGGGCTTGGGGCTCAGGGTTTAGAGTCTAGGGTTTAGGGCGTAGGGTCTTCTTTGAAAGGCTCTGTTCCGAGTGAACTAGGGTTTAGGGCTTAGGGCTTGGGGCTCAGGGTCTGGAGTCTAGGGTTTGCCGGCAAAAATCTACCGTAGTCTGGGGCATTCGGCTTGGAGATCTGCTGAAACCTACCTGTTGGCAGGGTTCTTAAAGTTTATTTAAACCTCAGGGTGGAAAGTAGGGGGGTTGGCTTAGGTCAAGCCCTAAAACTAGGCATCAGGGGGCTGCAAAGACGGCATCAATATTTAGGATGGTGGCTCCCTCCGTCTACGCAAATCAGCCGGTTTGGGATCAGGGGACATACGCTAAACCCTTCGCCTTGAACACCGCAAAACCAAGTTGAGCCGACTGACCAATGGGGGCGCAGAGCTCGTCTGGCATACCAACCGTGGCGTCCTCCAGCTTGCTCCTCCCGTGCGACGCAGTTTATCGGGGCTGGGGGGCTTCGGGGCGCTGGTTAGATGCCCAGGGTTGTTCAAGGTTGAGGTTGCAGAAAAAATCTGCTCCTCCACTGGGGAGTTTCGATGGAACTGCGTTCCAGCTGGCGCAAATGCCGGACGACGTCGTTCCTCTCCGCGACATACTTGTCCCAAAGGTTCTGGTGCTCAATGCGCCACGCGCAAAACAACCTCGGGGCCAGAACCACCACCACCACCGCCACCACCACCAGTACCAGCAGCAGCACCACCAGCACCAGCACCACAACCACTACACCAACCACCAGCCCCACCACAGGCACCCCCAGCAAGACCCGCACCACCACCACCACCACCATCACCACCACCACCACCACCACCACCACCACCACCACCAGCGCCAGCACCAGCACGACAGGAGCAGCATCAACAGTAACAGAAACAGCAACCATCACAGCCACAATCCCATGGGCAGCAGCGATGCGCAGCCACAACTAGCGAGTCTCATGCTCGGACCAAGGTGCTTCAAGTTGCTGTAAGCCCGAGAATAGGATGCCGCATCGCGGCCGGTCCCCAGCTCCCGTGGCTGCGTGACGACGAAAAGGGCTGAGAGCTTCTGAAACATCTCTTCAGCCACAGGGACAGCGATCCAGCCTGTGCGTCACAGGATTTCTTCTACGCCCCTGGTTAGGGTTTGGGGTCTCGGGTGTAGGGCCCCCGGCCCCCTGCTTAGGGTCTACACATGCGGAAGGATCTAACCTATGCACATGAGACCCCTCGCAGCAGCGACCTCGAGATCACCGGGAGGCTGACGCTTCGTCAGAGACAGGCACAGAGAGAGAGAGAGAGAGAGAGATAAAGGAGAGAGAGAGAGAGAGAAGAGAGAGAAGAGAGAGAGAGAGAGTCGGTCTTCTGCGTCATCTCCGCTCCAAGCTCTCTCCGTAAAAGCTGTTCAGACGCTTTAAACCTGGCCCTCAACCGGATCAAGCCGAAGGAAAATCGCGAGCGGTGCCTTGGTCCAAGTCTTGTCCCGACCAATAGCTCGGCACTTCCTTGGCCAACTGCTTGGGGATGCTCGGCTGCGAGAGCTTCTCGCGGAGCGTTTCGAACGAGGGTCGCTGAGCGGGGTCTTGCGCCCAAGCCTCCTTCAAGAGAGTCGAAGGATAAGTTTGGGTGAGGGTGTCAAAAAATCTTACTTGTAAGACAGCGGTGCGTATGCCCCTTGTACATCCACTTTCTAGTAGCACTACTATGACATAATGCTGCTTTTGCTATTGCGTACGATCATACGGGTCCTGAATGAGCTTGCCCAAACGCGACTTCGAAGCCTTCTCGTCCATGCTGGGCCGCTTGTTCTCGACGCAGATGGCTTTGAGCTTGCACAAGTCTGTGTACCTTTCATAGACTGACAACACAGTCATCGTGATCATTGCAGCAATGGTAAAGTTGACAATCATTGCGATATTAAATGAGAGAAAGATCCTACTACGGACAGTAGCAATGACCAACATCATATAGCAGACAAAAAGCGGCTTAAGCGCCAGGATCAACCCAAATCCTAAACTCTAAACCTTAAGCCCCTAAACCCTAAACTCCGAACCCAAGCCCCCACAAGGAATGCCCAGGCACCCTGCCCAGGCTTCTTGTGCACAGAGGAGCTCCCAGCCGAGGATGGCAAAAGCATAGACCTGTCGAGACATAATGCCGGGGACTTAGTACTTCGAACACGCCCCTACATTCTCCGAAGCGAGGTAATTACTTGGGTTCGGCACTCAAGGGCTCAAGCGTCTGGGGGTTGAAGGTTTGGGGATTTTCGGGCTCTTGCGGGTTCAGGTGGCTTCAAGGTACGCGTTGTGCCAAGACCGGAATGTCAGATCCATACCTCCGACCATCCGGGCCCTAAACCCTAAAGCCTAAACCCTAAGCCCGAAGCCCTAAACCCCTAAACCCTAAACCCCTAAACCCCTAAACCCCTCAGCCCTAAACCCTGCATGTAAGGCCCTGGCATCCGAAGCCATGCTGCAAGGCTTCCCATCGAAGAGCTCGGGCGCTTTGTAGGTCAGCGGCCCATGGCCAAAGATGGCCTTGTTGAAGCCCACATCCTCAGCTGGCTTTAGGTTTAGGTTTACAGTTGAGGACTCTAGGACGAGAACTTGAATGATCCGTCCCAACATGAGCTCGCTTGAAGTGCGAGCTTGAAAGGTGGCAGAACTGGAAACTCGACCAAATCCCAAAAGCCGAAAAGCCGAAAGCCCCAACGCCAAACCTCAAAGAAATTGAACCCTCGTCGAACCTTTTTTTCAATGCAATCGAGGGGCCGTGACTTTCGCCAGGAGCCGGGATCCCGACTCGAAGATCAAGACGTTCTCAGGCTTCAGCTCTTGGTGGATCAGAGGCTCCAAGAGTCCATGCAAGTGCCTTTAGGTTTGGGGTTTGGGGGTTTTAGGTTATAGGGTTTAGGGGTTTTAGGGTTTAGGGTTTAGGGTTTAGGGGTTTTAGGGGTTTTAGGGTTTAGGGTTTAGGGTTTCGGGTGTAAGGCTTAGGGCCTTCGATTCCGGCTTGGGGCAGCTCGGGTTTCGAGCGAGTCGGGCTCCGGGGATCAACAGCGTAGCTATGAGAACGACCAGGACATTCTGAAACAACCTGCTAACCTTCGTCTCGTCCCCTGTATAAGGGCCTCAATAGTTTCAACAGCGTTTGGGGCATAATAACCCCTATAGTAACCCTCAAAAAAACAAACACATGGCATGCCTTTTTGTTGCAGCTCAACAAGAACCCTAAACCCTGAACCCTATGGGCCCTATAGTATCTCAAAAAGTAACCGCTAACACTAAACCTCAGCAGGTAACGCCATGGCAGAGGCTATGCCGTGGGCCAGGGGCAGCTGCTGCTTCTGCACCAGCCGTGGCTCCTCACGGATGAGACGCCTCAAGCACCTGCCGGCTTAGGGATTGAAGTTTAACGGTTCAGGATTTAGGGGTGTAGGGGTTTAAGGGGTTTAAGGTTTAGGGTTTAGGGCTTAGAGGCATCAAGAGTTGTTTTGACAGTTCTGCTTGTGTCTGCCGCCGTTGTCTAAATGCGGGCTGGAGTGCCACTAAAGGGCATCAAAAGCATGCAAACTCGACTCGACACCTACATGCTCAAGGGTTTAGTGTTTTTTGTTTGTTTGTTTGCTATAGTTTCTACGGTTTGGGGTGTTGGGCTTCTGCTGTTGGACTGTTGGGAGGCTCGGGGCGAAGGGTTTAGGCTGCAGAAAGTCGGTGGCGTGGCTTGTCGGGACATGGCCACTTCGAGAGTCTAGCCTTAGAGTTAGAGTTTGGGTGCAGGGGCTTGGGCCAGACGCATGCAGGGGCTCCGTGGCTCGCTTTTCATTGCGGGTCCCGCGCCGTCTCCGACCACGCTGCAAGCGACGGATGAGTGTTGCCGAGCACCCCGGCCCACGAATCATGCTGAGCATGTAGAGTTTAGGGTCTAAGTCTTGGGTTCTCCGTGGCCTCATCTTTGTATCACCACGACCGTGATGCTACCCACCGAAAGTAGTCGTGGCTAAATGCCCCTTACCCCCAAGAGGCTAACCCTGAAAGCCCTTTAAATTAAGACCCCACAATGACAAACCCATGAAGACCAAACCCCAAACCCCAAACCGAAAATCCGAAAGCCATCACCAGCCTAAGCCTATCCCCAAAATCTCCTCAACAGGCATCCCGGCACCTCGGCGCCGGCTCCATGGCCAGGCACAGCACCCCGGGCTTGAGCCAGTAGAGGCCCAGGATCTTCACCAGGTGCTCGTGGTGCACCTCCTCCACAAGGCGGGGGGAGAGAGGGAGCGGGAGCGGGAGCGGGAGCGTTGCGGCGTGTGGGCTGGAGGGCTTCGGTGAAAGGTTTATAAGGGCTCGGTCCGGCGGCTTGGGGTGAAAAATGGGGTTCCAGTAGAGTTTTGGGGTTTAGGGCTCGGGGCTGGAGACATCGAGCCAGCACAACAAGGCTCGGAGCGGGCAAACCTGAAGAAGTCCACCACACCGTGAATCCTGGAAAGGAGCCGTAACGCACGTGAGCGCCCAGGAAAGGCCGTCCTTCTTGATCCAAAGCAGCCGATCCTTGATCTTTCCCATCTCTGGCTCGGCCAGCCGAGCGGTCTTGACGATGGCTGGCACCTGTTCCGAGCAGCTTCTGGTGGGCTTCCTAACCGAAAAAAACCGGCACTCTCAGCCTCTCCGCCGCCTCTTCAAGGCTATGGCAAGAGTGGCCTGGCCTCGGTGTCCTTCAGCTTCACGGAAGCCCGGTGGAGCGAGCTGGAGACCCTGGAGAGATCCTCCTCAAAGCGCACCCGCGCGGGCGACAGGTCGAAGTCCCGGAGGCACTTCACCGCCGCCCGGGGAGAGCCGGAGGCCGCCGGCGCGGCTCCGGAGGCCGAGCTTCGGAGCCCTCCTTTCAGCAGAGCCCTCGTCTTGTCCGAGGGTTCGCCGCCCCACCCGTCATAACCCCAGACCAGGCACTCGCCGGTGCCCAGCTGCGCCAGGAAAGCGTGGTTCGTGGTCCAGACGGAGTTGATGCCCTTCTCCAGCAAGGCTCGCCGCACGTCTCCGCTGAATCCCTCCCCACCGCCCAAGCATAGACACTCGCCCGTTTGCAGTTGCACCAGGAAGGCCCAGAGCGTGCTCCAGACGGATTTGATGCCCTTTTCGAGCTTGGCTTTGTCCTCATCTGAGAGCTTGCCGCCGCAAGATGTATGACCCCATGCTAGGCACTCCCCTGTGTCCAGTTGCGCCAGGAAGGCAAAACCATTGCTCCACACGGACTTGGTGCCCGTTGCCAGCTTGGCCAAGTGCGCATCTGGCACATCGCCGCCATGCTCCGAGGCACCCCAGGCCAGAAACTCTCCCGTGTTCAGCTGTGCTAGAAAAGCTCCCTCTGTGGTCCAGACGGCCTTGATGCCCTGCTCCAGCTTGGCTTTGTGCGAATCTGGGAGTTCGCCACCATAGTACGTCTTGCCTGTGCTGGGATCTTTGTGCTCTTCCCAGTTTGGGGGCAGTCCCGCTGGTGCTAGTGGGGCCGGGAGGGCAGGCTTAGCTGCCATAGCCGCGGGTTTGTCCCAGGTGGTCTCCTTCGTGGTCTTGTTGTAGTAATACGTCTTGCCTGTAACAGGGTCCTTGTGCTCGGTCCAATCGCTTGCGCCGGGCGCCGGAGGTGCCCCGGGTGCCCCAGGCGCCCTTGGGGCGGCCGGGGCTAGCGGAGTGGTAGCGGCAAGTTTAGGTGCTGGCTTGTCCCAGGTCGCCTCCTTGGTTATCTTGTTGTAGTAGTAGGTCTTGCCAGTCACCGGATCCTTGTGCTCTGTCCAATCATCCTTCAAATCGGGAGCTGGTGGTGCACCTGGAGCCAAAGGTGCTTTTGGTGCCAGAGGCGTGGTGGCAGCCAGCTTGGGCGCTGGCTTGTCCCACGTCGTCTCCTTGGTGATCTTGTTGTAGTAATATGTCTTGCCCGTGACCGGATCCTTGTGTTCTGTCCAATCGTCTTTCGGAGCTGCTGGTGCCAACGGCGCGCCAGGAGCCAAAGGAGCTTTGGGAGCGCCTGGTGCCAGCGGCGCGGCAGGCTTTGGTGCTGGCTTTTCCCAAGTGGTCTCCTTGGTGATCTTGTTGTAATAGT